TTTGCTTCGATTTGTATTTCATCGCTATTGGTTTTTGAACCGTGCTTTTAACTACAAAAAAAAATAACACGATAAAACGACTAATTTACATGTACGGTATATTAATAGGAAAATTTACATGTTAATAACAATTTGTAGAAAGTTTTTGCATAATTATTTTTTTTGTTTTCTTTGTTTACTAATACGGGTGTATTTAATTAACTTTGAATTGTGTTGTTTTAAAAAATATTAAATCCGAACCCGAACACACACATCTCACCGATATATGAAGTAATTTTTAATATATTTTTTTAATAATCAATCCTGTCAAACTAATGACAGTTATATTTGGGGGTTTAGTTGGCAACTTCTAGGCACCCTGAGAATATAATTGTGGTTATGTTAAATGTTTATAAATTTTGTCATTTAATTTGAAACTGAAATATCTCAGTTATTATGCATTTTTTGGTCCTCATACTCTCCTTCTTATAGGGGGAACAGGGGGTAACTTAAAAATGTCCAATGGACTAAAAATAGGTAGATTTTGTCTAAAACATTTTTTCATATTTGTAATAGATGGTGCTGTAATGAAAAAAATAAATTTTGTTCGATTTTTCCTCTGCATACGATTCTGCAATAATTTTTCTATAAAAATATCACTTTTTTTGGTAATAATTATCTTATTAAATTAAATTTGATTTTTTTAAGTACCCACGATTTTTAACTAATATTTAAGTCTCCTTTGGTTTAAGTTTTATATATAAATATAATATAATATAATATATAATATATAATATATAATATATAATATATAATATATAATATATAATATATAATATATAATATATAATATATAATATATAATATATAATATATAATATATAATATATAATATATAATATATAATATATAATATATAATATATAATATATAATATATAATATATAATGTATACATTATTTCATTCCGTGATAATTATCAATAGCGCACCATGGTCACTTTTTGCCTACCAGTATTAAATCCTTTAATTTAAAGGATTATTGTACTATTTTTAATAAAAATACCTCATTTAAGGTAAAAAAAAACATTATTTTGTCAATTAATTAATTTAATACTAATTGAGGTATATAAGGGTGTTATGTAATTAATGTTATATATTAAAATGGGTTGTTCCTTAAAGTCCATAAAGAAGCACCTGAAACTTTTTTTTTCTAAATTCCAAAGACTAAAAATAATTTATATTAACCTTTATCCTTCCAAAAAGTACGGCACTGATCGACAAGGAACTTTAGGCTAATCTGGTTGCCTAATTTAATTTATTATGTTATGGTTGGTAACAACAGCATTTCTAAATTCTGTCAAAAAAGTTGACAAACATAGTTTAAATTTAGCTTAATTACAAAAATGACAAAATTAACAATGCAAATTGTCAATTTGGCGTTTTTATTAATTGTTGGTAATGTCATTTTTGTACTGAAGGTAAATTCAAACAAAATCTGACAACTTTTATGACAGAATCTAGTGCATTTCTTTCAAATTTTAGGTTATATGCTCAAATTGTAAATATCTTAACTAAGGGAAGTGCTTTTGGATTTATTTACACAAATTAAATGTTTAAAGATTAACCTGTGAACTGGTCCCAATTTCATCTGAGTAAACAGAAAGAAAAAATTAATTTTGTGGTTATGGATTTTTTAAAATAGATACTACATTTTTTAATCATTGCTTAAGCTAATAGCTGGATGAGTAAATAAATACAGAAGGGTATTAAAGCTTTAAGGGCATACAACTTTTGTATTTATTGAGTTTATATTTAGTTTTTGTAAGAAAAATTATTGGTAACAATTTTTTACATCTGGCAACGCGCTGCTACTTTGTTGGTTGGTTTCTGTGTACTCACAGAACACAAGTGTGCAGAGATAAACCAAGTGTGTAACCAGTGGTGGATCACAAAAAATATAAAAAACTTCTAATGCATATTTTTTCTTTGTCTTTAGAAAAATATTTTTTTAAATATTTTTCCTTTACTCGTTATCTCAAAAGGTATTCAGTATTTTAATATATAACATTAATTACTTAACACCCTGTATAAAAAATGGTATTTAATTAAAATATAATAATTATTATTGAGGTATAAAAAAACTATTTATAGTTTAGCATTATTTAATCAATTTAGTTCGAATTTGCAAACGTTTCAAGTTAAATGACTTACCCTGTATACCATAAATAATTAGTAGGTACGGGTAAAACTACCTTGCACAAAATGACTCATACACAAAAATAAACGAAATAATACTGGTATTTTTGTTTCTAAATATAGAAATTATAAAATATTGAAGGCTTCAACTGGATAATTCTCACACTAATTGTTCAATTAATTGATTATTGAATTATAGCGTGGGTAGTGCATATCTTTTTACCGAATACAGTGGTGGAGATAAAAACAAAAATGGGAAATTCACCTGGTATTTTCTGCATATCTTCTGCGACCTTCTTGAGTTGAGGTTTAGGCGTGACAGGGTGACTGTGAAACCTCTCAGGTTGCTCAGGTCGGCCGCAAGTCGTGCAAGGTTGAGGCAAAAGTTTGGTCGATTTGGCGGCGTCATTCTTCAAGTTTGCTTTGGGTTTCCGCGGCAACTTCAAAGGTTTCATCTCCATAGTTTTCGCCTCCGACTTCTGACCTACAGGTTTGTTGTTGTTCGCATCACTAACACTCACTTTAATGCTGTTCTTCTTGCACAAGGACTCCAAATGCTTGAGGCGGTTATTGGGTTTGATGACCTTGGATTTTCTTGCACTTCGTATGCTGATGCTTTCATCATCTTCTTCACTCGTGTCGGTTCTTTTCTTCTTCTTCTGGACTTGGGTTGGAGGAAGACTCAACGGTCTTGCTATGGTGCTTTTGGCTTTCTTCGTCTTCAATATAAGAGGCATTCGGCAGAGGTTGCTTATATTCAAGAACTCTTTTCTTAGAGTGCTCATATCTATCTTTCCGATTAGGTTGATGTTTAGTATTGTGGGTTTTTCTAGCGTTGCGGTTAAGGGTCTGTCGTTTTCTTCCTTGTTCTTTTTGTTTTTGTTCGGGGGCCAGGTTTTGGTGAATAACTTTAGACCGGGGTTCTTCGGCATCTTAACTTCCTCTTGAGGTTTCAGAGAAACGTCATCCAGCAAGGGTAAAATCAAAAACGGCCTGCTATGCCTTTTGGTTAAACCTTTTTCCGGCTTCACCTTCATCAATGTTGGATTTTATCAAGCATGTTTCTCTCCAACCGATGCAGAAGTGTGAACGTAGCGCGCGTCTAGCGTTTGTTTGTACACTGAAGTATATTTGTTGTCCGGCATCGGGTAGCGTGTACATCACCCACGCGCACCTTTATTAATGTACGTTGTTATATATTTTTTAAGGTGTTTAAGTGAGTCATTCGTGTGCGACTTTCCACCTTGCTTAAAAGGACATAAACTCAGTTTTTGAATCATTCATCTTGAAGCGATGGTGAACAACAAAGAAATTTATATTTATGCCAAAAACTATATACATTAGACTGGGCCAAAAAAATCGACTATTATTTTTTTGGAAAGTATATCGAAAATATTGTTTGGGGTGAGATTTTTTTTCCTGAGCGAGTTTTTGTTTCAGAACTCCCAAATCATTGAGTTTAACAAAATTGACTTAAGAATATTTTTTGAAGAAAATTGAATGCTCTACAAAAAAGGTTTGATTGGAATTTCCCGTCAGAAGAACCGTTTTCTTACAATCATGCCTTAAAAATTGGTATAGTTTTACAATTTGATCTTTTAACTTTGGAATTTTGTAATTCAAGTAAAAAATCAGTACCCTGAAAAAAAAAACGATAAATATTCTTATGGGAAATCAAATGCTCTACAAAAAAAGTCTTTTATCATTTTTGGCTAAATTCACTCCATCAAAAGTTATTCAAGGTTAAATTTAAAGTCAAAACGAAATTTTAACCTTGAATAACTTTTGATTGAGTGAATTTAGCCAAAAATGTTAAGAAGCTTTTTTTGTAAAGCATTTGATTTCCCATGAGAATATTTCTATGGGTACTGATATTTACATGAATTACAAAATTCCAATTTAAAAGATCAAATTGTAAAACTATACCAATTTTTAAGGCATGATTTTAAGGAAACGGTTCATCTGACGAAAAATTTCACTTTAACCTTTTTTGTAGAGCATTCAATTTTCTTAAAAAAATATTTTCAAGTCAATTTTGTTAAACTCAATGGTTTGTGAGTTCTTAGCCTAAAAATTAAAATTGCGATGACCTCTTAATATTAATATTATAATATATGGACTCAAACTTCCACAATAATTTTTTGTGTCACCCCAAACCATATTTTCGATATACTTTTCAAAATAAACAATAGTTGATTTTTTTGGCCCAGTCTAACACTGAAAAATTGCACTGATGTGTTTAACCATTTAAAACATATTCAAGATCAAAGTTTAAAGAATTAATTAAATTTTTTTTGTATTATTGTCAAATGTTTGATTTTTTTTATTTACCCTATTAGGTATGCACATTTATCTTAAAAAGCAACAACATTTTTTTTATCTAAAAGCGATATTGCACTTTTTTCTGAATACGACGATTTCCCATAACATGGTTTTCAAATTTACAAATTGCAAGTATAAATTTGATATTGTTACCCAATGCTTTAGTTAGCTATTCATGTTTATAAAAAAAAATTTTTTAAAACGAATCCAATATATGGTTATAGTAATATACACCATCTTAAGGTGCTTTGTGTTGAAAAATAAATGCCTATTTACAAATCTACAATGATTTATTTTAAAATACTAAAAATAAGTTTTTGTTGTCTGTGGCTCCCCCTTTGAACAGAACTTCTATTGATTGTGAAGGATATTTAAAGAATTCTACAATCCTTGGAATAAGTTGACTAGGACTAATACAGATCTCGTTTGAACAACAAAATTGTAAATTAAACTTAACATTCTCGGTAATAAAGTTGTTGAACAAGTTTAAATGTTTAAGGAGATACAGGGTGATCTAAATTGAAAAAGAAACGTTAATTTCGTAAATTTAATACATTTATTTAACAAATTCATAAATATATATACTATATAGTTATATATTAATTTAATTTACTCTCGATAAAATATTTACAAAATAACATAAATCAAACAAACATTTCTCTGTAAGGTATCTGTTCAAGGTAGGCCTTTACAACATTATGAACCACAACCTCAATGGTATGGGTGATTCCAGGTCCGACTTCCTTCATTACTTCTTCCCAGTTATCATTTAATACCATGTTCATATTGTCTCCCAGAAGTTTGTCACCCTTAAAGAGGTTTTCAAAGTGGAAATATGCTCTTTTCAGTTTCATATCCAGCTTGTATGTTTCTATTTGTGCGTATTGTTTATTATTTTTTTCAACCAATTTCCAGTTCATATCGTATGTGAAATCTCCACCACCTAAAAAAGAATATTGTTAATTGATTTTTAAATTGTTCCTAGAATTATAAATTTATTTATCTTACTGAAGGTAATATTGCAATTTCCATCTCCGGTTATTGGAAGGACCAAAATTTTACCATCAATTTCATATTTTCCAATAAAGTTCAATGTAGCTGACAATGTAAAATGGGCTTTGTTGGCTTTAGTGTCAAAACTACGAAAAAATATTTAATAATTATTTAAGATAACATATAATTTCATTTTATTTATTTACATATATTAAAAGGAAACTTTTTTTAAATATAATTAATACTACTAATAATGATTTCCTTGATTTTATACTGTTGTTTTTATAAAACACCAGGGGCGGATCCAGAAAAATATTTTGGAGGGGTTTCCAAAAATATTTATGTACAACGTGGTCCACAATTGTGTGGAGGAAAACTGTTGCATCTTGCTTCCACATAAATTTTTTTTGCATGTGAGTATATAATAATATTTCCACCAATTCAAACCCTGTAGCGTTTTCAAAGGTTGTTTGAGAAACGTAGGAAAAAATGTAATGACAAACTCGTATGCATGAATTCCAAATTTAGAATAAAAAATGTCAAAAAATGTTGTGTACTACCCATTAGGTAGTCATAGAAAAAAAACTTTTTTAAAACTTATTTTTGGCCACTATTTTGTATGTTTATTAAATGAGTTAGTAATAGCATCTATTGGCTTAATTAAGTCTCATTTATTATGAAAATAAAAATTATAATTTATTCAATTTCAGGGTGGTGGGTGTTGAACCCCCCCAAACGCCCCCTGAATCCGCCACTGCAATACACATTTAATTATAATAATTAATCAATTAATTATTTATTTATTTATTAAAGTATATTTGGTGTATAAAAAAACTTACTTGGCCTCTTTAAATTCAATACTATCAAGTCCATGCACATTTAAATCCGTCATTTTTAGTTTTAAATTTGGTCCAGTGTCAACTTCGATTAAAGGCAATAATAATGGGTTTAGAGGGGGAGATTTAAATTTTTTGTCTCCTAAAATTAAAATTTTAAAAAATAAGAAATTATAAATAAATAATATTACCTTTGGATATAAAGGGAAAAGCCAATTTAGTTTGTTTTAGAGAACAATCATTAAGATTTGGATCATCTTTTTTGCACGGCTTTATGTAGCTTGCTAAAATATACAAAACATTAAAATACATATTAATAATTATTACCAATGCAGTCCTTACGTAAATCCAATGCAGATGCAATGGAAACCAAGCAAAGAGACGAAATCACAAACTTTATCATCTTGTATCTGTTTCTGGAATACTGACAATAACAAGTTTGCTTCGATATATAAAGAGATTTTATTAAAAAAAAAGGATTAGAAATAGTTGATTCTTTTTTATAGTTTTGTGTCTAATGTTTTTCTAACTTTTTGTGCTTTTAATCATGTTGTTTGGAATAATAATATTATATTACAAAATATTTAGGTAGACTTTATATTAGAAGTAAACACAATAATCTTTAATATTTTTTATTTTATATTATTTTAATTTTATTAAAACTTTACAGCACACGTCCCGAAGAAAAGGCCACTTATTCGTATGCAAATAATTTTATGTACTATTTAAATTAAAATAAAAAACTATTTGCTCTTAATGCCCTATCAATAATTGATCTTATACTGGTTTTATAATTCTCTCGACATTGGCTAGTTTAAAACTAATTTGCTTTTTAAAAGGATTAAAGAGCAAGTTGGTTTTTTAAACAATATTTTATTATATTTTTTTTATGATCTGCTTTAGGAATTGGATTATGTTTTAAATATTACCACTCTGCCATTAACTATTTCACACAAAAGTAAAAAACCGAATAAACAATTTGTACAACTTATGGTAACAATAAATTATATAAAGGTTATATAAGATTTGTCAAATTCTATAAGAGTTTAACAAGGTTTCATAAAATCGCCATTTAGTTTACTAGTTTTATAATGGTCATATAATTAGCCCTTACTTTTATAAAAACTATTGTGTCTTTAATTTTTTTTAATTAAAAATTGTAAGTTATTAATTAGTTATGTGCTTAATAAACAAAAAAAGGTTAAAGTGAAATTTTCCGTCAGATGAACCGTTTCCTTAAAATCATGCTTTAAAAATTGGTATAGTTTTACCATTGAGTAAAGAATCTTACTCAATGGTTTTACATTTATATTATACCAATTTTTAAGGCATGATTGTAAGAAAACGGTTCATCTGACGGGAAATTCCAATTAAACCTTTTTTGTAGAGCATTCAATTTTCTTCAAAAAATATTTTCTTCAATTTTGTTAAACTGGGAGTTCTGAGACAAAAACTCGCTCAGGAAAAAAAAATCTAAAATTGAGATGATAGACCTCTAAATATTAATATTATGGACTCAAACTTTCACCATAATTTTTTTGTCACCCCAAACAATATTTTCGATATACTTTACAAAAAAAAATAGTCGATTTTTTTGGCCCAGTCTAATATAATATAATATAATATAATATAATAAAGAAGAAAAAAAGCCGGTAGCAGTTCTTTGGGAAGTTATATAGTGGTTTTATAATTTGTATTATATAACATTTATGGGAAATACTATAAAAACAAAAGTGTTTATTGGGAATAAAACCACTTTAGGATAAATTATATTAATTCTTAAGGTAATTTAGTCTGCTGCCAGTATATTTTAAATGTAAATAGGTTTTAAACGGTTTTAATATGGTTTTAGGATGGGCCCTTTTTGGCACGAAGGTTCTTTATGATGGTCTCGTCTTGAAAATCATTAAGTTTTATGGTATAGTTTTAAAGCGACCTCGGAGATAGCAATAAGAGTATTAGTCTTAGTCGGGAGCTTTGTTTGTGGGACAAAATAAAATCATTTTTATAAAATTGACTTTGGATGATATTGGCAAAGATAAATACAGAAAAATATTATTAATTAGGTAAGCTTAACTTATTGTTATTGTTACCTAATACCTACCTTAATATTTCGTAATATAACATTAAGTATTTAAACAATCCACTAAAAAGTTTTTTGTTATTTATTTTATTAAAAATGCTTTATAAATCAAAGCAAACTTGTTGTTGTCAGTATTCCAGTAACAGATACAAGATGATTAAGTTTGTGATTTCGTCTCTTTGCTTGGTTTCCATTGCATCTGCATTGAATTTACGTAAGGACTGCATTGGTAGTAATTATTAATATGTATTTTAATGTTTTATATATTTTAGCAAGCTACATAAAGCCGTGTAAAAAAGATGATCCAAATCTTAATGATTGTTCTCTAAAACAAACTAAATTGGCTTTTCCCTTTATATCCAAAGGTAATATATTTTTTATTTATAATTTCTTATTTTTAAACATTTTAATTTTAGGAGACAAAAAATTTAAATCTCCCCCATTAAACCCATTATTATTGCCTTTAATCGAAGTTGACACTGGACCAAATTTAAAACTAAAAATGACGGATTTAAATGTGCATGGACTTGATAGTATTGAATTTAAAAAGGCCAAGTAAGTTTTTTAATACACCAAATATACTTTAATAAATAAATAAATAATTAATTGATTAATTATCATAATTAAATTAAATTTTCTTAATATGTAAATAAATAAAATGACATTAAATGTTATCCTAAATAATTATTAAATCTTTTTTCGTAGTTTTGACACTAAAGCCAACAAAGCCCATTTTACATTGTCAGCTACATTGAACTTTATTGGGAAATATGAAATTGATGGTAAAATTTTGGTCCTTCCAATAACCGGAGATGGAAATTGCAATATTACCTTCAGTAAGATAAATAAATTTATAATTCTAGGAACAATTTAAAAATCAATTAACAATATTCTTTTTTAGGTGGTGGAGATTTCACATACGATATGAACTGGAAATTGGTTGAAAAAAATAATAAACAATACGCACAAATAGAAACATACAAGCTGGATATGAAACTGAAAAGAGCATATTTCCACTTTGAAAACCTCTTTAAGGGTGACAAACTTCTGGGAGACAATATGAACATGGTATTAAATGATAACTGGGAAGAAGTAATGAAGGAAGTCGGACCTGGAATCACCCATACCATTGAGGTTGTGGTTCATAATGTTGTAAAGGCCTACCTTGAACAGATACCTTACAGAGAAATGTTTGTTTGATTTATGTTATTTTGTAAATATTTTATCGAGAGTAAATTAAATTAATATATAACTATATAGTATATATATTTATGAATTTGTTAAATAAATGTATTAAATTTACGAAATTAACGTTTTTTTTTCAATTTAGAACTCCCTATATCTCCTTAAACATTTAAACTTGTTCAACAACTTTATTACCAAGGATGTTAAGTTTAATTTACAATTTTGTTATTCAACCGAGATCTGTATTAGTCCTTGTCAACTTATTCCAAGGATTGTAGAATTCTTAAAATATCCTTCACAATCAATAGAAGTTCTGTTCAAAGGGGGAGCCACAGACAACCAAAACTTATTTTTAGTATTTTAAAATAAATCATTGTAGATTTGTAGATATGGGTGAATATATTGAGATGTCCCCCAAGTGAAAATCATTATTTTTTATTTTTGGTTGTTTCACTGTTAGTCTAGAATGGGGTTTTTGGGAAGCCACCAGGTCTAGTTCTGCACTAATGCAAGAATTTTAAGAAATCATACATTTTGAATATTAGAGCTTCACGGAGGTGTATCTTTTGACACCTTAATATTTTTTAAAAATACAATTGTACATACATAAAATATTTATAAAAAAATCTACTTACCGAGATATTAAATTTTAAGGTGGATAGTTTTTTAAATAACAAATTAATGAACTTAAACTTTTGAATTATAAAACAGCAACACTCTCATCTGGATATAAATTCTAACTGACCCTCAGGAATCACATGCATCTATAATGTCGTAAACAAAGGTTTTTGCTTATTTAAAATGATTAAAGCGCCATTAGTTGCATAAAATTTAAAGCAAAAACAGATTCACGGAGGATAGAATCAATTTTTGTAACACCTACATAAATGGTTATAAAAATTATTTCTTTACATTTTTAATAATATTTTATATTTGATTCGATTGCTTTAGATGTGTTTAATTTACTTAGGGAACCGATATTTTTAGTATGCTTTGATTACCTCAGATATTTGAAAACATATAGGTTAACCAAGAAAGAGTAACAGTCACGGAGGATAGGTTTTAGACTTTTAAAACATTGTAAAAAATAATTAATTGCGGTTAAAAATCTGGAACCTGAGCTGTAATATCTACTTAATTATGAAAGATCAAAACACAATAAAAGTGTAGGTCAAACTCATTTAGTTTTATTAAATATCACGGGGTAACACCATCGGGGGACATTTCGTGAGATTCACCCATACAGTGGTCTCAATTTGAGCAATATTGCAAATTTCGTTGCAAGTTATACTACATATTGAAGTGAATAGGCATTTATTTTTAAACACAAAGCACCTTAAGATGGTGTATACAGGGTGTCCCAAATTGGTTGTCCGTATAGGGTCATATCTCTTAACCTAAAAGAGCTAAAAAAAATCTGTTTACGCCAATGAATTCTGTGATAAAATGTGCCTACATAATATTTTAAACCTGTATTCGTAACTCAAATATTAACGAAGCTACAAGCATTTTTCAAAATTGGCAAAAATTGAAAAAATAGGTAGGTATATCTCCTAATTATTAATTATTTATGTGCCTAATAAACCAAAAATGTTTAGTAATTGAAACATAAATTCAGCATAGTATTAACTTTCGTAATTTTCATAATTTTAATTAAAAAATGGTTGAAAAGAAAATTTGTAGCATATAAGTAATATAATATTATTAACATAAATATTTTAAAAGAGGATTAAATCAAAAGTTTATAAAACTGAAATAGTACCTTAGGTTATATAAAATTACAATGAGCAATATAAGAGGGCTCAAGTTTGATACATTATTTTCGCCATGATTGATTTTTACATAAAATAAATGTTAATCGAATTGCATTACAAAAACAACTTAATTGACCAAACCAAGGTAAAAAATTCACTAATTTATTGAAAGCAAAAGAAAGATATTAATGTACCTATTTAAAAAAATATTTTCATATATTTTTTATTAGTATAAAAAATATTAATGTTTAGGTATTTTTATGTTCCCTGCTGTTTTTCGAAGTAGATATTGTGTACATATTTACAATAAAAATTATTATTATATATATATATATATATATATATATATATTAGACTGGACAAAAAAATCAACTATTTTTTTTTTGAAAAGTATATCGAAAATA